GTATAGACCACTGACATTACTTCTATGCAATCACTGTAGGGATTCCTCAAGTGATCATCATGACTAAAGTGGATGAAACATGTCCACTGGTGAAAGATGACCTAAAGAAAGTATACATCAGCAGGAGGGTCAACGAGAAGGTAAATCATGCCATTTTATGTCCTGTGTGTGCTTTAATTCCTGGAACTACCATTTTTTAATATTGACTTTGTCTGATATTTGTTGAAACATCTCTATTTTTTTTTTAGATGCATTTGTGCAGCGAGATGATTGGGGTGCCAATGAACTGCATCTTCCCAGTGAAGAACTACCATGATGAGATTGAATTAGATAATGATGTTGATGTTCTGATTCTAAAAGCATTTGAGCAAATTGTAAACTTTGCTGATGATAGACTGAGAGAAGCTGCTTCCAACTCTGAATGCAGACAATAATATTCCTCTGCTTGATAACAGGACAAACAACACATGGAATGCACACTGATGACATTTAACTATACATGCATGCACAAAAGACCTTGTTCCATATATGCACGCATCAATGCAGTCTGTCTAGTTCACCACATGCGCAAAGTGTTCAGCAGCTTCATTGTTAGTAATAATATATAATACGATTTATATTTATTATTACACGGCTCTCTAAAATACTTGATTCTGATTAGTCAGTTGTGACATTCTAAGGTTTGTTATTCCCCAATAACAACCGTCATCATTAGCTGAATAACACACCGCTCATCCGGGTATTTGAGGCCGCCGCTTCTTTCTGATCTCTTATATCACACAACCTCTCTCTCGTTTCATTCAAAGAACTGCTATAATTTTGCACCCCAGTTGTTGACTGTATTTACTGTCAAATGAATTCTAATAATATATAAGTATATAATATACAGTACTTAAGTATTAATAGTAGCTGTAATGATATTGTTGAAGTGTTCATCTTGTTGCCAGACCAATTGGTTTGTACACCAATTTAAGATAATTAACAGCTAAGATTTTAAAATGCTTTCTTCTCAAATAAAATTTTAGGTCCTCATCATTATGTATGTGGTGGAAAAATGTGTAATTAAGTGATATGACATTACATTATACCTTAAATGACCATCTTGTCTGAACTTTGTCTAGGCTCAAAGCTGTTTGTTAGGAGCTGTTATTCTTTGTGGAAGCTATGTGTTTAAAGATCTAATAAAATATTTCAACTCAAATCAATATTTTGTGTCTAATTGTGTGGCAAATACACTCTTAAAAATAAAGGTGCTTCACGATGCCATAGAAAAACCTTTTTGTCTAAATGGTTCCATGAAGAACCTTTAACATCTGAAGAACCTTTCTGTTTCACAAAAGGTTCTTTGTGGCGAAAGAAGGTTCTTCAGATTATAAAAGGGTAAGAAGGAGATGGTTCTTTAAAGAACCTTTGACTGAATGGTGCTTTGTGGAAACAAAAATGGTTATTCTATGGCATCGCTGTGAAGAACCTTTTAAGCACCTTTATTTTTAAGAGTGTAGACATGTACTCTTCAATAACAACCAGCTGGATGTGTGCCATCCCTTACTTATAACTACATTATGTTTTAGTCCTTTAGCATGCAGTAAATTAAAAAGTTAAGTAATACAGTTGTCAGCAACCTTTATGTCACGGCTGAAACAATGCAGCAAATTAATAAAATCAATAAAAGTACTTGGATCAAGTAACTGACAATAAACGATGATCCACAACAGCCGAAGCGCAATGTCCAGATACAGGAATCGCCGAATGAAACTACTAAGACAAACAGTTGTTTCTCTGAAATTAATGCGGTGAAGGACCTTTTTATGCATCAAATAAATAAATAAAAGATATATATATAAAGATATATGTTAGAAAATTATATATTGATAATATACAACAGTGCCAAGATGACTGGAAAAAATGTTTGGTGAAGTAATATTTACGTTCCTCGTGGTTGAGTGAGCAATCCAGTGGCTGTGACTTCTTCTACTGGCTGGGCTGGTAACAATGCAGTGGGGAAAGAGCTGTGGGATGTTGATCGCCTGGAGGACCAAAAGGGTCCTAAAATCTGGAACACGCAGATGATGCCCTGAAACAGGTGCAGAATGTCCTTAACAATCTAGAACATGCAGACTAAGGTAAATTGAAGTGACGGAATTAGTCCACCAATATCCAATCAAAAGGTAACAACCCTTTATCCACTGTTGCAGTCAGAGAGGGCCCTGGAATCTGCCGTTCACTACAGCACACATCCTCCAGTACAGCATGGTCCTGCAGCGTCTACCTCCATCTCTAATCAACCACACCTGAGAAATACAACCAAACTCTTCAGGATTGCTTGAAAAATTACAGGCGTGTTTGTATGAGTAGGTATGAAACTAAACTTTGCATGTCAGTGGCACTCCAGGGCTGCATTCCACTTCGACACAAACTTCACTAAGCAATCCCCCTTGGAGGAAGCAATTTTTATTTGAACGTTCTGAGTACAAAGAACAACTATATAGGTTTCATTGGTCAAGTCAAGTCTTACATCCTCTGAAATTCAGCGTTTTAAGATAAGTGAATTGTTTCATTATTCCTTATGTGTTGCATGGTCTGCATTTATCAGTTTCTAAACGAAGCAACAATATATGAAGTCAAATCATATAAGATGTTTGTTCGAGTTGTGTATATGATGTATGGATTGAGTAATATAAGCATATAAGCAAATAAGCAAAGGTAGCATGAGAATGTGCATTGTGTTAATTAATAACAGTAGCAGCAGAAAGGCAACTTTGTGCCGAGGATAAGTGTAAGATGTGTAAGACTTAATAAATGATAGATTTATTAAGAAATTAATCTAACATTCATTTTACAAATGGGGCACATATGCTTAATGTGTCTCTAGCAAGATTTTTATTAATTTTTTTATCAGATTGCAACGTTATATTCTATTTGATAACTACACACAGAGCATGCATCACTAAATGGGTAGGCTTGAGCCATATTGTCTCAGGCACACATAGCTTGTTTAGGTCATTAGTTAAATAACTTAAGGGCATGACACACGTAGCTAAGCCACTAGTTAAATAAAAAAATGTGATTTAATTTCACATATGCTACATATATGTGCAGCAGTCTATGGATTAACTGGCTTTTTAGCTGTGTCTGTGATTGGTTGCAGGTGTGTGTGATAAGAGCTGGAGTGAAGGATGGCAGTGTAGTGATTTTCCTTTCGCCCACCCAGGAAGGTAAAGGGTAGTAAAGGGTACTCGCGTCATCTACAAGGTTATGATTTTTGGTCACTTTAGGTGCAGTTATGAGTAGGCAGATGACCATGTCTCCCCTCTCTTAGCAGAGAAAACATGGCTGATTTCATCAGAGATTGCGGAGAGAATAGTGACTTGCGTCCAGATGTCATTAAATTATTTTGTTCAGCGTGTATTTGGCTTAAAAGCAAGAGTGTTTTATAATAGACACTGGCTGAAGGTGGTCAGAGGTTTAGTGATTCTGAATGGGTCCATTTAGTAAGTTTAGTGGTCTTTGGTGTCTCCTGTGGTCCTGTTTGGTATCGCAGATTGACTTGTGCTCATTTGTATTGAAAACTTTTATTTAATTATTGATTGATTGTGGCTAGTGGTCGACCGATATATCGCCAAGGCCAATATATTGGCCTATATTTGGCATTTTTCAAATATCGGCACTGGCCGATAAGTTTTTCTGTTTGGCCGATGTGTTCGAGGCGGGACTTTTATTTTGACCGCGCGCTTGACTTTTATTTTGATGGCGCTGAGAACGGCAGCGCCTGAGCACATAGTGCTCACATTTTCCCTCTTGTTCGG